TAATTCTACCAAGAGTAATTGCTAATAGAGACTTAATCTTGTTCTTCTCCACATTATACAATATTATAACATCAGACTTTGCTATATTTCTAGTGATTGACTGCATATCAAGACGAAGATACTGGAAATACACTCTAATCCCATCATACTCAACAAACCGAAATGGTAAATTGTGCATAGCCATTCCACAACAATCAATTCTCTAAAACTTGTTAGAATCATATGAATTGTCAGACAAAAATATAGCACTTTGATTGGACAATAACAACATTTGACCTACATCTTCCGTGCTTTTGCAACATCTTTATTAATATGCCGAAGTAATGTCCAATTTCTTTACTAGAACAAGCAATGAAGGTATTATGACAATACAAACAAAACACTCCGTTGACTGACTCCGACTTGTGCTGTGATTTGCTTGCAATTCTATTATGTCTGATTGTGTGAAAAACTGAGATAATTGGGTTTTATGGGTTGTGTGAAAAACTGATTGTTTGAATTTTTAAATTTAAATTTCTAGAATTAATTTTTGAATCTTATTTATATAATATTTTATATTATTATATATATATTAAAAATTCGGGTTGGGTCAACTCGACACAATTTTAGAAGGCTCAGTCTCAAAATATTTTTTAATTGGGTCATGCCGGCCCGACCCAATTTTAGTAGACCTAGGCCCGAAATATTGTTTCAATCTGGCAGTGTCCCCCTCCTTTTCCTATCGCCTTCCATGGGAATATACAATGAAAAATTTTGATATTCAAATAAGGCTATTTAAATATTTTACTTATTTCATTTGTATAAAACTTGCATAATCAAGTACATGTCTACAACAAAAAATCTGGACAATTTTTTTTTTACATACTTAAATTTACCATAAAGAAGTTTTACACAATAAATAAACGATGAGGTATTTTGTACATTTATACTAAAATATAGGGAGTATTATGCAATTTATCTTTTTGTTAATAAAAAAAGAAAATATTTTGCCAAAATAGCATAAAATCTTCATGTGATTTTCGGAATTTTCTAAAAACCCCTCTGATTCTAAAATTTTATATTACCTACTCGTGGTTCTGAAAATGTTGCAAACAACACCCCACCGTTAATATTTAATGGTAATTGTATTGTACGCGGGGTCACTATGTGTATTATTGAAAATTCACATTTTAAAAGAAAGAAAATTACAAAATTCCCCTTCCTTTTCCGCTTCATCTTTCCTTACCTTTCCGCCATGGTTGTCGTCTCCCGCTTCACATGTGTATAGTCGTGATTTATGTATGAATCAGTGCAACAATGGAAGAATAAAAAATTCGAGTGAATTTGCTCAAATTAGTGTTTTTCTCAAGATTTGGGTTAAATTTCAAAATCTCCAAATTCAAATTGGTAAAGGTTTTAATCAAATTCGAATGAGTACAAAAATAATTAAATTCTACGATTTAGCCATTTGATCTATGAATCTAACAAATAGAATCGATCATCAATCGCCTAAATTGAAATGAATCTTCAAGTAACAGAGGTGAAAAAAAATGGAGGCAAAATTGTCCATAACTCCCTTGTGGTTTCGAAACTCAGCGTAAATTCCCCCTCTACTTTAAAAATTGTATGACGTTCCCTTATAATTTAAAAAATGTTGCATGAAACCACTTTGTGGTTTTGAAACTCAGCATAATCCCCATTTTACTTTAAAAAATTGCATGACCCTCACTTATACTTTCAAAAATATTGCATAAAACCCCCTGCCATGTAAAACATATAGATAGAAAATCATCTTCTTATCACACGAGGAAAGTTTCATGATGGTGGAGTTTCATGCAACGTTTTTAAAAGTATAAGGGGGTACCATGCAATTTTTAAAGTATAGGGAGATTTTACGCTGACTTTCGAAACCACAGGGGAGTTATAAGCAATTTTACCAAAAATGGAGAAAAAGAGTTGCATTTCCATTTCCAAAATGGCGAATTACCATAAGTTCGAAACAAAGGCTATTGATCGCGATGTGAAATACTGCACTCCTTCGTCTGTAGAGGCGGTACCTATGGGATGGCCGGCGGTCGGAGAGCCTACCACGATGCAGAAGACGCCGTGGCAGACCGGAATTCTATCCTGCTTAGGAAACGGCGATGAGTTCTACAACAACGATCTCGAAGTTTGTGAGTATTATTTTCATCTCCATGTGTGTCTCTGTATTTTTTAATCAGAAAACACAAATTAATATAAATATGCATCGAAATTCAAATACCTATTGTTCTTTCATTTTTCTCACCGAAATTGAGGAATACAAGTTAATTTACTAAAAAAAAAAAAAGAAGAGGAAAAGGAGGCGGGCGGCAAAAGAGGCGGAAGAAGAAAAAAGAAGAATATGGATGTATGCGTGTACGTATATGTAAAACAAAATGAAGAAATATAGGTGAAAAAAATGGAGATAAAATGAAGAATAATGAATAAAAAGAGGAAGAAAAATAGGTAAACAACGGCACTGCATGTTTGCATGTGTATGTGTGTATGTTTGTGTTAATGTGTATGTCTGTGTATGTATGTGTGTATGTATGATGAAAAAAAAAAATGGTTAACTCAGAATGCGTGGTCAAAAGTAAAAAAATCTACATGACTATAACGGTTCAAACAACTAAAAATTAACTTTGTTAGTTCAATTTTAAAGGGATGGACGAGTGTAGAACATATTTTAAAACACGAGTATGTTTTATGAAATTTTAAAACCAGATAGAGTTTTCAAGAAATTTGGGAAATCACAGGGGAATTTTTTCTATTTTGCCAAATAATTCATTGTGGTTCTAATGAAATTTTTGGATCAATTTTAGTATTATTATAGCTAACAATGATTGAATACGACTTTGTTGGATGACTAAAAAAATTGACTCAGTTGTACAAACAGTCAATACGATTGTTTTTATGTCTCTGTTAACGACCTTTTCTCAAATTTTGTATCGCTTCAAGTTTGGCAAAATTCAAACCAAAACTTCGAATGCTTATCCCTATTATGAATATAATCATGTATCTAAACCCTGTTCATTGTTACATTATAAGTTATGTTTGATTTTTTTTTTTTCAAATTGTTTAATATATACTTCCTCCGTCTCGGTCCACCTTTCCATTTTTTGTTGTCCACCAAATTAGTCCAATTTTTTTATTTAGTAATAATTAACAACATAAAATAAAATTAAAACATTAATTAATCTCATTTCTTTTACCAAATAAATTACTCCCTTGTTTTCAGCACATTAATATATTTTTTCTTTTTAACCGACTTATAAAATTAGTCAACTATTCTAATATAATAATAATTAAATTAAAATTTTAATGACATTTAATTAAATTATTAATATATCTAAATTTATTATATATTTCATTGTAAATTTGAAAATTGAATTAGAATTTTGAATAATAAAGTTAAAAATAAAAATTTAATATAATATCAATAGATATTTTTGTAATGTTTAAAATTTTAAATTAGTTTTTAATGTGATATAAAAAAAAAACATTAATATTTGTTTTGGTATTATATTAATGGATAATTAGTTAATAGTGAAATTTGATTTTGAATTTATTTTATCTGTAAATTCGGTATATCAAATTATTAATATGGTATCGTGATGGTAAAATATGAAATCAAAAATTTTTATGCCGTATTACGATATGCAATATAAAATTTGGTATATTATAACGAACAAATTTTATCAGCAATCAAATTCGATAAATTTGATTTATTATTTTTTTAATTTTTTTTATAGTTACAATATTAATTGTATGTAAATTATTAAAGTCAATTTCTTTTTTTAGTGTTTAGAAATTTTCTGTGTTTTTATTGTTAGTTATTGAGAGTTGTCAAAATAATATTAAAATATTTAATTTTATTATTTTAAAAATATTTTGTAAGAAAATCATATAGTATTTTATCTATTTGGTAAATTTAGCTCAATTTGTTTTTTGGTATATTTACAAAAAAAAAAAAAAATTAAATTTGATAGACGGATAGAATATTATTAAAATTGTGATTAATATTTTGTTAGAGTGAACAAATTCATAAACTCTTCTATCACATTTATCACTATCAATAACTAAATTCAACTTATATTTTATTTTTTGTATTTACTTTTGGAAGAATTTTATGTAAATTATTATTCAAATTAAAAAAATAGTCGCATCATATTTTTATTGTTTAATTTTGTTTAGTTTATTTACATTAGTTTTATATTTTTTTTGTTACGTATAATTACTATAATTACTGTTTTACCATTGATATAATAATTTTTTCCTAAAGTTAATTTTTAAAATATAAAATATTCATCGTAAAAAAAATAAAAAATAAAAAATTTTAATTTTTATTTTAATATTTCACTAATAAAAATAATAAAATATTATAAATATAATATAAATTAATCATATTAATTAACTATCTAATACAAATTTTCTTAAACTTCGTACCAATAAAAATTGGACTAATTTCGCGGGATAGAGGGGATTATATAATTCTAGTAAAATATTTTTATAATTATTTAAAAGTATTAAAAATGATCAAATTTTAATATTTTTAAAAATAATTGCAAAATAACAATAGCAATAATAATAAAATTATATATATATTTTTTAATTCTAGAAACATCATTTTATTTCATAATTTCTAATTCAAAAAATAAAAGATATTATTTTCTTCTTCTCAACTAATTTATCCTCTTTAGTTTAGGTACAAAATTTTAGATATTATTTAATTAATAAATAATTACAAAACATATTAATAAAAATAATTGTTATTTAATAAAAATTAATATAACTAAATAGTTCACTTAAAAAAATTGTAAATTATAATTTTAAAATATAATTAAAATTTATAATTAGATTTTTAAAAAATAAATTAGGAATATTTAATTACTTTATTACGCCAAGTGACATTTGATTTGGCGCCAAAACTTCGTCTGCACTCCCAATTAATTAATTCAGAAAATTCCCGCTTCATCAGAAAATACCACATCCAACATTCGATTCACCTCCCCGCCATTTTTCACCATGCTTAAGCTTAAAACTCATACTCCTCACCAGTCCTCTATTCAATTCTCAGTCTGAAACCCTAACCGAGTTTGTCCCCGATTCAATTGCACCTACCGGAGGGAGGACGACAAATATGGCGGCAGCGGTGACTCCAGATGCGGTTTCCACTATCTTAGCGAATCCCTGTCCCGATTCGTCTTCAGAATTGCCCGAAATCATCGTGCAAGTGGTCGATCTGAAGCTCGCCGGCTCAAAATACATGTACGTCTCTCTCTCTCTCTCCAATGAACTACTTCTAGCGTTCGGTGTGGATTTGTGAAAGCATTGAGCGTATCGTAGGTGTGATTTCATTACAAAAGCTTAGATCTGTTACGATTTGTGTGTGTGTGTGTCTGTTTAATTCCATTGCCCAAAACTTGCTGCACTGCAATCTATTTCCATTTCTGAATTCGCTATAAATGAATCACTTATGCCAATTTTTTGCAGGTTTGTAGCGAACGATGGAAAAAATAAGGTGAAGACTCTGTTGCAGTCGTCATTATCATCCTTAGTCAACTCTGGAGAGATCCAGAATTTGGGACTCATTCGTGTTATCGACTACACCTTGAACGACATTCCAACAAAGAATGAGAAGTAAAATCTCTCTTCACTAATGAACCCCGTTTTGGTGCATCTTTACTTTCATAATGCATTGGTGAGGATAGAAATTTCATATGATCTCTTGCTGTGTGTTCATCTTAATTCTTAGGTTTTTGATAATAACCAAGTGTGAGGCCGTATTGCCTGCGCTAGATTCAGAGTACAGAGGTGAGGTGGAGGTTGGGAGTGGTATTACATTAAAGCCAAAGCAGGAATCCATGGTTAAGATGGAGAAGAAAGTTAATGTTTCTGATTCTTGTATGAAGCCAAAGAAGCAAGAAGTTGGGGTTAAATCCGCTGCTGAAATAGTTTATGAACAGCACGGGAAGTGAGTCTTGTTAACTAACTCTATTGTTGTGCTTAATGGAGTCGTTGAAGTTATTGTTTTTGTTGGACAACTTATGGATTTGCACTGTTAACTGTAGCACGGCGCCGGCTGCGCGAATGGCTATGACACGGAGGATCCATTCGTTACTTTCATTGAATCCTTATCAGGGATACTGGACAATTAAAGTGAGGGTCACTAACAAGGGCAATATGAGGTCCTACAGGAATTCTAGAGGAGAAGGTTTTGTGTTCAATGTAGAACTGACTGATGAAGATGTGAGTGAGCATCTTGATTTTGTTAGATTGTCTGCATATAACTTTATAAATATGGGTGTGTCAATGATGTTGTGGTTTTGGAATTGCTGGTACTGTTCAGGGCACACAAATACAAGCTACTATGTTCAACGAGGCCGCGAGGAAGTTCTTTGACAAGTTTCAGATGGGGAAAGTGTATTACATATCAAAGGGAAGCCTGAAAGTAGCAAACAAGCAATTCAAGACTGTGCAGAACGATTATGAGATGACCTTGAATGAGAATTCCCAAGTGGAGGAGGCGAGTGATGAGTCAACTTTTATCCCCGAGACGAAGTTCAACTTTGTTCCCATTGATGAACTCAGTCCATATGTCAATGGAAGGGAACTTGTTGGTACGAAGCACTCTGCGCCTCTGATGTATACTCAACAATCCTTGTTTTTAGTTTATGTTGACGTATTCTGTGAAAATTTGTGCTGTTGCAGATGTTATCGGTGTGCTCCAAAATGTGTCTCCTACAATGAGCATTCGAAGGAAAAGCAACAATGAGAGTATTCCCAAGCGCGACATTACCATTGCTGATGAGACGTAAGTTGGGCTCATATTTGTAATAAGCATTGCTTAGATGTTAGACCTTACATTGCTGAAATATAATCTCCAGGAAGAAAACAGTCGTGGTTTCTTTATGGAACGATCTTGCAACAAATGTAGGACAAGAGCTGCTCACAATGGCCGATAAATCCCCTATAGTTGCGATCAAATCTGTTAAAGTTGGTGATTTTCAGGGTAACTAACAAAAGCAACCTATTGATGAAACTGAATTCCACAACAATTGACATTTGAATAATGCTGTTGTCTTAATTCAGGTGTGTCGTTGTCAGCGCTAAGCAAAAGTCTTGTTGTCATCAATCCGGAGACACCGGAAGCCAAAAAGTTGAGATCATGGTACAATAAAAAAACATAACCGCGTCCATTTCATAGAATTACCATGCCATTTTGCTAATTCTGTTCTGTGCAGGTTCGATTCTGAAGGTAAGGACACTTGTTTGGATGCTGCTGGAGCTGGCTTGAGCCCTGCCCTTAAAGGCGGAGCTCGATCCATGTACTCGGATAGAGTCCCTTTAGCTCATATCACTGGCAACCCAACCTTGGGAGAGGACAAGGTACTCACTCACTCACTCTGCTAGCTGATGCTATAAATGATGACTTGATTTCATTCGATACAAAATCATGACAAGATTTTACTTGCTCATTTTTGCGATAGCCGGCATTTTTCTGCATCAAAGCATACATAAGCTTCATCAAGTCTGACCAAGCAATGTGGTACCGTGCGTGCAAGACGTGCAACAAGAAAGTCACTGATGCTGTTGGGTCTGGGTACTGGTGCGAAGGGTGCCAGAAGAACGAGCAAGATTGCAGCTTGAGGTTTGTGGTCATCGCCCATTCGTTCATTCATTCGAGCAATGGGGTATTTATGGATCCATCATTACAGGTATGTGATGGTGGTCAAGGTTTCGGACGCAAGCGGCGAGGCTTTCCTCTCCGTTTTCAATGACCAAGCTGAGAAGATCATGGGATGCACTGCAGACGAGCTACACGAGTTAAGATCACAGGTTGGTCCGGGTTCGTTTGTTTGTTTGTTTGTTTGTTTGTTTTGCGCGATGATGACGGATTATATTGTATTGTATTGCACTGTATCAAGGAGGATGGCGCGTATGAAATGAGGCTGAAGGAGGCGCTATGGGGGGGTCATGTTTTCCGGGTGAGCGTGAGGCCGCATGAATACAACAATGAGAAGAGGCAGAGGATCACGGTTAGAGGCGTTGCTGGAGTTGATTATGGAGCTGAATCCAATCATTTGATCCAACACCTATCCAACATCACAATCTAATATTAGTATTCCTTGTGTTGTTCATCATGACGATGATGATGATCCAAATAATTTGTAATACACTAGGGTGCCATTGTTTGGAGATTTTTCTTAAATTTCACTATTTATTCAATTTTTTTATCAAAAAATATCAAATAAAAAACATTTAATTTTTTACTTTTATATTATACTAAAAAAAAATTAATTTTATATTCAAAATATCAAATCTAATATTTATTCACACTGTATCATACAATTATTTATATTTAAAATTTTTACTATTCAAATCTCAATTCAAAATCTATTCTCAAACAAACAAACACATCCTATATTTGGTGATTTTGGGAGTCTCTCAATCAAAGTCAATCTTTCTTTTGGAAATCGCATTTATCCATTCATGGTCTGGGATTTGTTTTGGTTTTATTTTTATAAAATATTTATGTGTTTGTTTGCAGATTTTAATTTATAAATTACATTTTAAATAATAATATTTTAAATTTGAGTAGTCTTATTTAAATAAGATTAAATATAAGAATTTATAATTAATATTTAACCGTAATATAGAAAATAATATTTTATTTGATTTTTTCTCATAAAAATCATTTTGTAACTAACTTAAATTTTATGAAATCCTTCAAATAAATACACCTTGTATATTAAATTTATTTACAGTCCATTTATTATAAAAGTATTTTATCTATTTATAATTTTACTTTTAAAAAACTAATAATAATTTTGTTATTTTTTATTTTGTTATTTTTTATTAATTTTTTAATAAAATTTAATATTATTTTCTTATTTATTTTACTTTTAATATTAAAATATTATTTTCTTCGTTTCATAGAAATATGTATTTAAAGTGACGCTAATTAATTAGTTAATAAGAATAAATTATAATACTTCATTTGTTCACAAACTAATGTCTTGGGACATTCTTATTTTTTTACCCTGCATTTATTTATACTTTTAATCTCTACCATACTATTAAGGAAAAAATTGTCAATTCATGACAAAAAGACAATATAAATATACTTTAGGACAATAATGAGATTATATAATGGGCATTGGTTAATAATTATAAATAAAAATAAATATATATGATTAAAAAATATTAAAATATCTATTTAAATATTTTAAATACTCCTATTATATTTCAATAAAATATATGTAATATAGATATTATTCTATAAATAATAAATTTTTATATAATATTTATTTATACTAATAAGGTTATTTTAATCTTTTCTACTTTATTCATATCATATCCAATATAATATTAATATTTTTAAAACGAAATGATATTTCAACAATAAAATATAAAATTTGAAAATATATTCCAAATTTGAGCAATAAAGTTTGGAATTATAAATTCTCAAATGATAGACAAAGAGATAAGAAAATATAAAATAAAAATAAATAAAGATGACCCCAATGAGATCTTTGGAATTTTGTCTGATTGAAGATGATAATTTTTTCCCATCTGAGCTACTTATGTACGTACTCATCCGAACTGTCCAGAGCAACTTCCAAATCGGTTATCAATTTGAATCTTCCAGAACCACTTCCAGATCGGTTACCTTGATTGTGAATTGAATCGTCATTGGTTACCCTTATTCATCCCTTGTCGACACGTTGTTAACCGCAGACCTAGGCACTAACCAGCCAATAATCCATGTTGTTTCCCTCATAACCGACCATCCTCAGGCCCATGTTCGGATGGGTTCCTTGTCTGCTAAGCCGACCATTTAATTAGTTGGGCCTCAAAAACCGTCCCACCTGAAACATAAAACCAAAACTAGATTTGGCTCACCATCGGGCCCATTCGTTCCTTCTTCTCAAACTTAAATCCTAATTTATCTTTTTGTGCTCAACAATAATATTAATATTTAAAATTCAATATGTAAAAAACAAATGGATATTTAATTAAACGGCGAAGATAATATTTATTTCTTGAGGAAAGATATACAGATATAAAATTTTTGAGTTGATCCTACATAATGTATTATATGTTATAAAGTTGATTTATATTTGTTAAATATGTTTTAAATTATAAAATTTTATCAAATATAAAAAAAAATATTACTTTTTTATGTAACAAACTAAAATAAAAATGATATTAATTATCATGGGACGAAGGAATTATATTTGTAGTCTTTATTTAAAGTAAATTCATATAAATTTTCAGGATGGACTTCTTTTCTAAAAAAAAATTAACATATTTTTTCAAAAAACTTAATATTATACAATTTTTTTTATATTATTATTTACACAATTCTTTATATCTCACGTAACAAATTTTCTTTCGAAAAAAAACATAAAACAAACACAAATTTCCACGTAACAAATAAAGGTGTTTAGATATATAATGTATTTGTTCCGTATTCATATTTTTAAATAGAAACAGTTTGGTTTTATATTTAAATAAAATTATTGAAAAATATTTGAATATAACAAAATTAATATGTTAATGTAATGCATTTTTCTATTAATTATTTTAAAAGTTTATAAACTATATTTGAAAATTTTAAATTATCTAGCTTAATTAAAAATATATACAACATTAGATTTTATATATCAATTAGAGTGTTTGGTCGCGATTGGAAATTGAAATAAATATTATTTATCTCGTATGATTTTAAATAAAATATACTAGGGTGGTTTACTTTGTGTTTTTGAATATCTAGTTTGTTTGTTTGTTTTTTTTTTTTTTTTTTAATATGTTAAGTATAAGAAATTGTATTGATAATATAAAAAATAATATTTAATATTAAATTGTTGATTTTTTATGAGTAGATAAAGTTTATATATTATATATATTATGTTAATATATATTATATTATAATTAATTCTATTATTTTTGAAAAATCTTCTACTAAAAACACTAAGGGGTTGTTTGTTTGGTTCAAGGATTTGATGGGATTCCATGTGATTTAGATTTTAAAATCCTATTAAATCTATGTTTGGTTAAGAAAAAGAATGTGGAATTTAAAATGATGGGATTTGAAAAAGGGGTCTATAAATAAGGGATTTTCTTCTGTAATGGGGATACCCTGTTACTTTTAAATCCTATTCTTGAAATTTTAATTTTTACATTTATATCTTCTTATAAAAAAAAATAATAATATTTTATTTATATGAAAAATTAAATAATTTTAACATTAATTATTATTTGAATTATATACTTGATTAAATTTATATTATTTTTTATCGTAAAATATTTTTTAAATAAATTAATAAATTCATTGTTTAAATTATTATTTATTATAAATTTTATTTGAATTATAAAATTATAGGGACGACCATAAGTCGGGTTCAGTCGGAACTGATATTCATCCCAAATATATATTGTTAAATTTGATATTCAAATTGGATCCGATTATACTAAATCCGACCGAGACTATACCCGGTAAGACTTGATGGATCCGAAAAATCCATTTTTTTTACAATTCTTAAATTTTAATTTAAAATTACACATGTACGGGATCCAATGTATATTAAAATTTATGTATTTTATTAGAAAAATATTATAATAAAATAATGAATACGTTAAACTCAAAAAATATTTTTAATATAATTATATTATTCGAAATTATTTTTTGATATGTATGGTTGATATATTATTATATTACCCTGATCATGATCCGGATCCAGGGCTAATACTCAAATAATTGGACTCAACTTCAAATAAATAGGTCGGTCTCGGTCGGGTCTCGAGTTTACTCGAATCTATTGTCATCCTATAAAATTATTGATATCTTTTCAATTTATATTAATAATGAATTAAAGGTTTAATTTGTCAAAATAAATAAAATTCATAAAAGATTGTTTGTTTCAAAGATTTGATAGGATTTTATTGGATTTGGATTTTAAAATTCCATGAAATCCATGTTTGGTTAAAATAAAAAATAATAATAATAATAATAATAAAATTTAAAATGATGGAATTTAAAAAGGGGTTTAAAATTTACAAATGAGAAATTTATTAGTAATGGGGTACCATTACTTTTAAATCCCACTCCATGGGATTTTAAATTTTACTTTTATATCATTTTATAAAAAATAATATTATATATTATAAATATATTTATATAAAATAAAATTTAATAAATTTTAAAATTAACTATTATATATTAAATTAAATTAATATTATTTTGTATGGTAAATATTTTTTAAAGAAATTAATAAACTCATTATTTTAAATTGTTATTTAGTATAAACTTTATTTGAATTATAAAATTATCGGGATGACAATAAGTCGGATTCAGCTGGAATTGAGATCCATCCCGAATATATATTGTCAGACTTGAGACCAAAATTGGATTTGATTATACCGGATCCGGCCGAAATTATACCCGGTAAAATCCGATGGATCTAACAAATCCAATTTTTTTATATGATTCTTAAATTTTAATTTAAAATTACATATGTACCGGACCCAATATATATATATATCAAAATTTATGTATTTTATTAAGAAAATATTATAATAAAATAATGAATAAATTAAACTTAAAAAATATTTTTAATATAATTATATTGTTATAAATTATTTTTCATATGTATAGACGATATATTATTAATATTATAAATCGAGTCCGGGTGCGGGTATGGTCCGCTTAGACCCTTGACCCGATTCGGACCCGATTAGAATACCAAGAACATGACCCGGATCCAGATTTTATACTCAAATAATTGGACTCAACTTCAAATAAATAGGTCTGGCCTGAGTCGGGTCTCGAGTTTACGATAACCTATTATAATCCCTATAAAATTATTGATACATTTTCAATTTATATTTATTATAAATTAGATGTTTAATTTATCAAAATAAATAAAATCCATATGGGAACAATTATGTCATTTAGAATATAAAAAATCTAAATCCTTCCACTCATATAAAAAACAAACAAGATGTGAGAAATATAAATCCCACATAATTTTACCAACCAAACATACGATAGAATTCCAAATCCTAAATATAATAAATCCAATCATTACCATCATAGATAATTCCTAAATATAATAAATATAAGAAGGATTCATTACCTTGTAGCCCTTGTCATAAAATCTAACTTTGTTAGTCTTGCCATCATAGATAATTCCTTTATCGGATTGCCATGATCGGCCAAGAAGCACATGAC